ACCGACCGGACAAAGCTCTTGTATAGTGTGAGGAGGGATTCCGGATTTGAACCCCACCAAGTACCACAGAGAAATTTTATAATATTATTTGCTCTTGCACATTTCTTTTTGACGTATTCAACGTGCGGATTGAAGGAAAGTTTATAATCGAAGTAGATTCCTAGAAATTTTACTGTTTGGCTCGATTTTATAGTGTGTTCATCAATCTCGATTTGTGTTTGACCTGGTCTTATATTTTTCCTATTAAAATTTATAAAAATCGTTTTGTGGGGGGCTAATTCTAATCCTAATTCGGCTAGATTATTTTTCAATATTTTGACTGCTCTTTCTAGTCGCTTGCTATAATTTTTTGCTGTGGTGCAATATAGTGCAATGTCATCAGCGAATTGTGAATTTGTTATACCCTTTGGTAGGTTTTGCGTTATATCTTTTGTATATATTATATACAAGAGCGGACTTAATACACCTCCCTGTGGTAAGCCTTTGCCTGCAGTCCTATATCCAGTACCTAATGCGTCACAATGGACGATTCGAGAGTGTGTTATAAATTTTACAAAATTTATTATGTTTATTGAGCAACCTATCTTGGCTAATTTTTTTAGTAGGATATCGCTATTTATATTGTCGAATGCGCCACTTACATCTAAGAAGGCCGCTAGTAGCTGTTTCTTTCTCGACATTGCTTGTTCTGCGTGGAGTTTCAAGTTTGACAGATTGTCCATACAAGATTTTCCTTTTCTAAAACCCGACTGTGATTTTGGTAGAATATTATGGTGTTCGCACCACCATTGAAGACGATTTTTAGTAAGTGTTTCGAGGAGTTTGCAAAAGCAGGAGGTAAGAGCAGAGGTAATAATGCATATTTCCCCAAATTAAACGTATTTGTTGCGGAGCGCAGTAGCGAGCATGCTGCTCAACCGGCGTGTACGGCGCAATTACTTTTAAAGAAAAAGTGTTTTATGTATTTTCCTTTGTAAGTTCATGTCTGTAGTTGTAAATTTTTAAATGTCTTAAATGAATAGTCACAAACTATGTTATAGACACAACCAAATAACACAATTACAAAGTTAGAACTTGAAATCGAATGCACATTAAATTGCCATGATTTAATTTTGAAAATAATATAAACTAAGAATTTTATTGCATTTAGCTATTTCATCAGACTTATCTTTTATATTCGAAATGAAGATCTAAATTGATGCGTTTTTCAAAGGATCTGATTATGGAATTGCAATCGTTAAACCTATTAGCTTACAAGTCGTGAAAGGAATAATGCAATATATTACTAAAGGAATAAAATAAGTCATAAGAACGTAATATAATAAGATATAATTTCATAATTACCTTCTTTACAATGATTATCGAAAAGTTCATATGTTAGAAATTACTTTTTATAAGTATACGAACAGCACTGATTATTATGAATGTTCTTTCTAATAAAATTAATGAATCTGTTAACGAAACGTTAAAAAAAAATTTGTATTTATTTATTGCCTACAGTGACGATTACACGCAGAAATATGTCAGATGAAAATGAAATTAAAACAAATACGAACAGTTTACAATAAATTTTGAAAAGTTCATTATGATATTCATCATGTGACGTAAAACATAGCAAATAACAGACATGATATATCAATATTATGAGTTTTTTGTATATTTTTCTGCGTAACCGAACTAAAAATAGCGCCGAAAAGAGAAACGTTATATCGTTGAAACGCGCTAGTCATCTATTGACGTTTGACTGTATCACGTGTAAAAGAACGTGCCCGAAAAAAGGTTGCAAATAAAACTAAAAGAATAGAGAGTGAAAGATCAAACCCTACAGGCGTTGATAAGAGTGTGCATTTAAGACTTTTTTTTCTAGAAAGCGTAGCTTTTTAATTTATCAGACTGTATGAAAAAAGTGTTGGAAATCCGGAAATTCCATGGGGAGTGAGCCACGAACGAAAAAAATTCAGGTCATTCGCTGCAAACTGTTTTTACGTACAGGAAAAGACATATATCCACGCGATATTTTCTTTAAAGTACGGCATTCACTAAGAGGATGTTAGCGGCAATGAAACGCGTATTAAGAGATAGACTATACGGTGACATTTGCTCTGAAAAGCAGAGTTTACGTCGAGCTTTTAAAAGTGAACGCACTCGCCGCTATGTATATGCTACATACACTCGACCCGCCTGTACTTTGTACTAGAAAAAAGTAGCGTCAGGTGTAGAATGGGTGTATCCAACGTAGCTTACTGGTACTTTTCTATCACGGAGTATGCATCATGGTATACTTTACGCCGTACAATTTTTTTAGATACAATACATACTATACAGCTTATAATCCAGCAATGTGTTTCATATTGATTAGTAATATATCAGTTGCAGGCTAGTAATCGTGCAATATAACTTTGATTCAACCTAAACTATTTATAAATATGTCTTCTAAGCTAATCAAGTACTACTTGACAAAACAGCTAAACTAACGTATTGAACACTAGAGGAATTAAACATTCTCTCTTCCTTTTACTCATTTTTCGCGTTCTTAACCTGCTTAGATCATTAGAATTGCGAAGTATAACCTTGATCAATTTTTGTAATGAATTCAACTGGATATTCACATTAAATATTTTTTGCATTGATAATCATGTGAATATATTGAAAATTGATCACATGATTCTTTTATTGAATTAATATGCCTCAATTGCAGCTTTTGTATTATTTAAATAAGAATTTATTAGAATGACCCGATGAAAAACAGTAATCTTTTTCAAAAATTTATTGCTAAATATTAATTTTATTTATCATAGATTGTGCTACATCAGAAATGATTTATTGATAGTAATTTGAATGGAATTAAATTGATTTTATTATGACATTTCAACATATTGAACAATATGAATCTTCTCCTTGTATTCGATTACCATTCGGGCAGAGGCTTTACCTTGGCCCCTTCGTATGCGCACTACTCATCCGACTGGAAAGTTATGCAAATTGAAGCTACTCCCGGAATTTACGTCATTTTACACATGCAGTAGTAGAGATTCCGTTTTCCGGTGTCCCTTTAATGAAACGGAATTCCACTTGAGGAAGGATCCATTCAGATTCATATAATTTTATAAAACAAAGATTGACCATAATTGTTTCTTCGAAATATACTTTTAATTTTGCTTTGTCTCTGCGAGAAATGGAAAATATTTTATAATTGGATGCAAAATATTACGCATACGGATATAATATTACGTTTATCGTAGGCGTGATATAAAAATATTAACCACTTCGATTCTTGCGAAAAATTTCTGTAGCAGACATTTACGTAGGTTTAAAATTAATATAACTTTCAGCTACACAAATTGAAAAGTGAAATTTCAGATCTTTTCATTCGCGTACGGTCACCGATAAGCAGCAGCGTCTATAGCGTTCAATCTACTATAATCTGCACCTTCGCATACTTCATATATGTGCACTCAATTTTTAGAAATAATTTAGAATAAGCTTAAAAATTAAACTGTATAACAAATATAATTGATTATTCTTAACTTTATTAATTTAAATTTCACGTATCGCATTACATTATACTTATAAAAGATACTTATACTTATAAATCAGTCAAGAAATGAATCGTCGATCAATCAGTTATTAGAGTACTATTCATTTGATGAAAAAGCACTTCGTAAGCTTTCAGACTAATCGATCTGTTGATTTTGGTGAGAGTTCTCGGAAAAAATTCTGCCTCATTTCGACTTATTGATGGTTGTTACAGACGTGTATATATTTAATGAGAATGATAAATCGATAAGACTGCAAAAGAATGTCTGATGTAGAATGGCTTCAGAGGGATCACAGGGGAATTGAAATCGGCGAATCAGTGATGAGGTGGGTGGCCTCGTTATATAGAAGGGAGGGAAAGCCATGGATATATCCGCACAAGATCCCGGTGAGATTATACATGGGCGAACAAAACGACTGGATGTGTGCCGTACCAGAACTGCCTTTTGTGTGATTTGCGCCAAGCCAGGCTTTTAGTTAGGTACATGAGGAACGATATATATATATATATATATATATACAAACGTGGAAATATTATTATTTATCATTGTCGTTACTTAAGCTCACTCGAAGCTACTCCCGCACAGATCTTTGTATCTGAAAGCTTCGAAGATTATCTATAATTATTCTCCATAATTTTTCCTGGTGATTGTTTTAATTAATTTGGAGGTATTTTATTGATATTTTTATCTTTTTATTTTTATCTTAAGACATACTGGTTGTTGTCGGAAAACTACTATATGTCAGATCAAATAAAGTATTATATGAAATGTTCGATTTTGCCGTAATTAAAAATTAGAGTATAAATTTTAAATTATTCGTAGACAATTGAGCGCTGAAAGATTGTAAAAATCTGTAGGTGAAATATATGGTTTGTATGGTTGTGACGTGACAGATTAATCACGAGCGAGAATGTCAGGCTATGATGAATTACTTCAACTAAACTCATACCATTGGAGAAATCTATCACGATTTATATGCCCTCACACAAATTCATGATAATAAAGTGGCTAGCTGGATTTTCATTCAATAATTGCAAGGTATTGCTTTAATGATTACAAATTTGACGTGAGCATGCGATAAAGGTCGGTCGTAAAAAATAACGGAGCTCGTCAGGAAAAAAAAATGTTCGACAAAAAGTATAGCGTGCTCCAGGAAGACACCAAACTATGAAATTTAACAAAGAAACTGCACGATAACAAGCATCCCAAAAATCCCACAATTGTAAGCGCGGGGAGCGAATGATGGAGGAAGCGCTAACGGGAGAAAAGCGGGAATCCTTGCTTGGATAGCTGCGAGCTGCAATTAAAAAGGGAACGCTCGGGAAGGATCGATGGAGAAAAAGAAGAAAGGGAGAAAAAGTGGCAATTAATTACTCTGCTTGGCGGGTCGATAGAGAGAACGACTCTGTACACCTTTCCGGCCAAAGTAATGAAATTTTCATCGTTTAATGTGTGTCATAGATGGAGGAGTGGTCGGGGGGGACTCGAGGGCGGGGCCCGTGGTCACTCCGCATACCCTTAGGCTGACTTCGCGCGGCCGGGTGACATTGCTTCAGGCGCCACCGGACACCGCCAGGGCCTACTTGCCACCCGAATATCGGCCCGGCCGCATCTACTCTGACACCGACTCCGAAAAGGTAAGCTTGTCATCTGACTTATTTGGTTTGAAAAATAAACATCCTACTTAAGATTCCCAAAGGTTCGGCTAGTTTATCCAATTTAATTAATTTCAACAAGCCCTTTGAACTTGTACCAAATTAACTTCATTGTAAGAGAACAATGTTATTTTTACAATTATATAATGAGGTCCTTTTCATTTGTTGAGAGATCACTATGAATCTTGCATTTGGCTCCAATTATTTCCATTATTTTCATTAGCCGATTTACCAATATCGCATTTAGCTTTAATTGTATCCGTCGTTTCAAATGGTATGATTTTCAATAATAAATTGGGGTTTAAATGTGGCCTTTGCTACTGAAAATTCAGGTAGGAAACATTCTTTCTGCTTACGGCGAAACCTATCGACCTGCTGTCCATATTATCTAAATATTCAGTAACATTCGAACGTATAAATAAATATAAAACGCGATGGGCGCGCTTTCCGGTCAACGGTAAGTGATAATCCCAATCAAGCCAACCGAGATGCTGTTCCATGCATTGCTGGCGAAGCTAAAACGCGACGTGAAATCGATGGTATCTCTTAAATAACTCACTAGAGAACTTACTCGAGCGTACAGACGCAACATTCGCAATTGCGCCGCTCTCGCCGAGCTAAGTTTTGCGTATCGATTAACCGAGGGATGAAAAATGAATCGCAAGCCATTGGCTATTCAAATCGTAATGAGGTTATTCTGCGTCTTAGCCTCAGGACTTTTATGTCTGGAAATAGCTATTGGAAATCGATATCGATCAACAGGATCAGAGAGAGAGAGTGAGAGAGAGAGAGAGAGCGGGGGAAAAAACACGAGAGCTTAAAACGAAGCTAGATATATATACGCGAAAAGAAAGAAGAGAAGCGAGAGAGAGAGAGAACGATTTGGCTGTGACAGATGGCTGATATGAGAGATAGGAGAGGTTCGCTGGCGCAAAACAAGGATTGCCGCGCTAATCAATTTGCTGCCGTGAGAGACGAGCCTCAGCTGGGTTCGAATCACATTTGCTTTCAGTGTTGCGAGCGCCAGCCTAACGCCACGGCCTCATCTGCGTGTAAAGTGAATTTAAATAGCCGCAATTAACGTATGAGCGAGCTGCCTCTGTTACAGTGCTGAACATGTAGCCCTGCAAAGCTCAACTGACTATATATCGAATTGAGGCCGATATGATGAGCAGACAATATGCACGAGTTAATTTTGCCCGTTATAAATAATAAATCATTACATTATTTTGGTACAAACTGTAATTTACACTTTTACTATTCAATCGCCCATATTAACGAGAGCAGCTTAGATTTCTTGTTTTATGACTGAGTAATCAATTGCATTTTTTATTTCAACTATTTGCATTGTGGTCTGCTATTTCTTTTCTGTCACTTTTAATATACTATTATTTTATTTGCGACAAATCTATATATAAAAGAATCGAAGTTCGACATTGGCAACATATCGACAAAATATATTTATATTACTCTTTCTACGCTATAAATGTAATCGAAGAAAACCGTTGGCATTTTATTGTTTAAATAAAAATATTGGAAAGAACTGAAATTGTTACATGAAAATATATTATTTTACAGCTTAAATAGAATTTTGGAAATATATATATAAAATTTTGAATTATAATCGTTATGAAATAAAAATGCCGTACTTAAATATAACTATCTAAAAGCAAACTACCCATTTAATTAGCCAGTATTAAATAATAATAACTTTGATATTTAGGTCTAGAATTTCGTAATATATGGAAAATACGACTTAGCGCAATGGCTATTGTGTAATATACGTACGTGCTTCATTCTTACTGTCATGCATCAAAAAGAAAATCCGACCATTGTCAGGGAATCTCATAACAATTGCATCGACATGCGTGCCCGTGGACAATGAAATCGTCTATTATATCCATGTCTCTTGGGTCTATGATTCTCTATCCAAAGTTTTCCCTCTAAACTATACGGGCGAACAGAGCAACTTGCAAATAAAACTGCAAAAAGCCAATAACCAAAATGTTAAAAAAACAAAGCATTGCAGGTGCATTTCTCTTCATTGTTTACGAAGCTCTCATTTTCCATTCTTCATTCCGAAAAGCTTTTCAATTTGCTTTATATATATGTACGGAAACACTTTTTTAACGCGAAAAAGAAGAATTTATATATTTTTAAGAATTTATATAGAATGAAGAAGTGTAATAAGACGGATGCCAAGTCAAATGTCAAGTCGAATAAATTCATAAATAATATCGTTTTTTGAGCAATTGATACAGAGGAACAAATAAAATCTTAAGCATAATATAAACAAGTAAACTACTGTATGTAATAAATCTTTATACTTCTTTTTTTTTACTATATCAACTTCATCTCGTTAAGTTTGAATTTTTGTGCCGTAGTTGCGAGATACTTTTTTCGAAGTTTTCTTTGCATTTTCAATGAACTTACGAAAGGACTTTTTTATATTAATATACCTGTTTTCTTATAATACTGCTATTCTAATAATATTTTCCATAAAAAAATTTGGAGACACGTGCGTATGAGTATTTCATTTTTACAATATATACCATACTTGTACACAACAGCCATCCAGCGTAAAAGCTTTTTAAAAAAAAACATATTGTTTTTCTTTCATTTTTTTCTCAATGGGATCAAATTTCTTCGACAATATTAAATAAAATATGGATGCAACTTTGCAACTTAAGAATTTTACAATTGCATTGGTTCCGTAATAAGACAGACATGTAAAAATAAAATACCGTATAAAGTATAATTTAAAGAATATATCTCGAATTTATATGTGAATATTTGAACAAAAAATGTGACAAACGAAATCTCTGGAGTATTAGAGGACAGGAATTGTCGAACCTTCTTCACGTTCATTGAGTTTCAAATAAATTTGAAATCAAGTTGAAAGTCGCTCTCCCGGGAAATCCTAGGCTGGCCATATACAACAACGAGTTACACTGTAATAGGGCTAGGCCAACGAGGAATGCGCTCTCGTTTAAGAAATATCGGCAGTTGTGCGTTTTTCTCGATTTTCTAATCGAAATTCTATTTTATTTTCGAAGTTTACTTTGATCACTTCATTTTTTAATTGACTGTTGTTACACGTATTATAAACCCTAAATATTGACATCGAGTGTTTGTAACTGAAATACACAAAATTGTAACTTGTCTAAACGTTGAGATTGTATTAATTTTGTAAAAATATATACGATTTTTGGTCGATGAACTTCGCGTGTCTAATAAATTGTATAAGTCTTTATTTTTATTTACTGATGGTTGGAGGTGCCTGACGTAGAAAAATAAATTCTCCCAACTTTTGGGTGTAGGTGCTATAAACAGTATTACTTTTTCAGAGCGGAAAAACGTTGAAAAAGCAATGGAACGTAGTTTTGTTTACGTTTTACAGTCTAGCTCTCAGTCTTATGAAAATTTGAAAGTGGTGTTAATGTAATGAAAAGAATTAAAAAAATTATTTCCGCGTTATAAAACCCAGGAAGTTCAACATTAAAAAAATAATTATTTATGTAAAATATTAAGCAAGGGCATAAATCAATTGATAGGCTGTGGACTCGTTTAATTCAATCGTCAATGGATAAAGTATATATGTTAAAACTCTTGCTATAATTGAAATGCTAATTAACTATAGAGGCTTATATATAGCGAAAATGTAGAACAAATGGCACGTTAAGATTGCAGAAGCAATTTAAAAAAGCAATTTTCGCGAGCGTGATTCATCAAGGGTGTGACTTTCAAGGGCAATAGGCGTTCATTTTCAATCTCGAGAGTATCTCTCTGGGAATTTGGCCCGTTGTCCATTTCCGCCGGGACTCAATCATGGACCAATCAGCGAGAAAATGTCTCTCCATCGGTGTTCGTCTCTGACTCATAGAGAGCGGGAGGTTTGCCGGCTTCCAAAGATACGAAACGGAACTGCCTCTCGGGAACACGTATTCGCGCCCCGTGCGCCGGTACTTAGCCGTGGTAGTTTCTCCGAATCCCGGTCACACGTGACTTAATGTATTGACGACCATATTCAAAGTTTATACAGCCTCATTGACTTTTATTACCATATCGCGCGTGCAATAGTTCCTTTGAGCAATTACTTGGTATACCAACTAACTCTTAGGTATATAATTACTTGCTAACTTTCATGATGGTTAATAGTAATTTTGCTGTTCCTTCTGCGGATTATCAAGGCTGATTAAACTATCAATTATTTTAATAAAAAAAATACTCACATTTCGTTAATGCGGGTTATGAGAAGCTACTGTCGTAATATGAGTTCAGTAATTTCGAAGCAATTTCATAAGTTCACTTTGAAAGAACTAAGTCCATACAGTGCAGTTTTAGTTTGTATTTATTTCCGTAAAAGTTCTATGACCAAGTGCCAACAAACCATGTTACATATTTATATTACTTTTACAAACTTGAATTCACTTGTGTTCAAAAATTAGCACCATATCTAAAGTAGCAGCGTAAAATTGCTTTGAGTTAAAACGTCTGTGGCTTAGCGCTTTTTGCAATGTTTAATTGATAGGTAGTTATACCGGTATGTCGACATTTATATGTATTACGAATAATGTAGCTACGAAAATTTGTGCCGCCTACTAATTATCCGGATCAAACTGTTGAGATGAATGCTGACATTGCAAATATGTGCCATCGGGTAATTGAATGTTTGTAAATAAACGTGTCCAATCAATAATCGCAAGCTCATTACACGAGCGACTAGCAGCAGCCACTGGAACAATATCAGCTGTCTAGCGATTTTACTTTGAGCTATACTCGACGTAATTTTGCTCTCAACTCTGAATTTAATATTGGAGCTTTGAGAGTGAAGTCGAGGAGAATTATACGATGAGAAAGAGAAAATATAGCTTAAAGGCGCCGATGCTAGAGATGACGAAGTCGAACCGCAAGCTAATAAGCGGTGGTTTGACGCTCAACGCTCTCTCTCTCTCTCTCTCTCTCTCTCTCTCTCTCTCTCTCTCTCTCTCTCTCTCTCTCTCTCTCTCTCCCTCTTTCTCTCTCTCTCTCTCATAGCTACCTTCCGAAATATTGGCTTTGAGACGCAATTGGTGCAAGTATATTGAAAACCAAGAGCCCGCACTGAGGCCTGACCGTGACATGGCCTCTCTCTCTCTAACTTATAGCTTTCTTCGGCTGGCGACGGGCATACTTCTAATTAGCATCGCATTAATTCGTTCTCATTACCCCTTGCCTTCCGCCCTTTGTCCCGTTCTCTCTTCGCCGTACTTGCCTACTGCTGCCGCTTCTGTCGCTTCTGCTGCTGCTGCTGCTCTGGCACGATAATTAACGTCACCAACGCGCGACGATGCCAAATTCACTAAAGCGCTTCGATATTCCATTTCCAGCATTCTTACTTGCACGTTATAAACTTTCTTGTAGTTTTAGACGTTCACACTTTCACTATTTGAGTGTTATTCATGCTTCTCTTATGCGTTTTGTAATATTCGCTAGTGATATTATTTAAAGGCGATAGAATCACTGGCTGCTACAACAAGTCAAGTAAATTATACGATCGTTCGAAAGACATCAGTGGGCGAATAGTGCATAGGTGAACGACATTGGCACTCGTCAAAGTGAAAAATTCAGCTGGTTATCCGAAGCACTTGACACTGTGGCGTGCTCGCGAGTCGCTCGCGGGCTCTCACGCGCGAGTGAAATCTCGACAGATGCCCAACCTCAATTGCCGGCACAGAGGCTACTCCTCGAAAGTAATAATTGTCAGTGGCAATAGCCGCAGTGGCCTAATGAAAACACTCGCCGAGGCTAGCAGAACCCCGGCAAACAGAGAATAGCGACGTAATTAAAACGCGCGCGGCAGCCACACGGTATTGTCCGAACGCTGATGTAACTATGTTTATCTTTGCAGATGTGGATGTACTCGCTGGGCAGGGCTCTGCTGGATACGACGCCCCGAATGACAGCGTTGACGGGCACAGTTTCCGTCTCGCCGACGTCCGCCCTGCAGTCCGTTCTCGCTGCTATGACCGAGCCTGATCCCCGACGACGTGCTTCGCTGATGAATCTCCTCGACGTGAGTATTAAAGCAGTATACTCTATTTGCTGACTCTCTTTCGCGCCAGATTATTGAAGTAGCCTGCTTGCTGCCACGGCTCTGTACAGAAGTGACTGGCTTTATGGATACCTACATATATACCTTTATCTATACCTTCCTTTGTGAAATTATGTTTGTCAAAGCTCGACTCTATTCAAGTCAATCCATTTTTAGTTGATCCATTGATTATTCACGTTATGAAGGTGTCGTGTTATTCCGTTTTTTTCAATCTTTTCAAGCGACAATATTAACGCCGCTTGTGTAGTGTGATGTAGAAAAAGAGGACACGTTTCATTACTCTCTTTTCGGTCCACACTCTCGTACAATAAAACCGAGAGCAGCATGGACTTGTTATTACTGAACAACGAAAAAGCCTGACAACACGAATTGTGAAAACTAACTGATTCTAGTAGATGTATTCCTATCCCAGAGACTTGCAAGGGTCGAGTCCAGCCAATTCTAAGACTAATATTGATTGAGATTCTTAAGGGCTAATATAACGTAGAATTAGGAAACTAATGTCATGTAGGTTATTCGCTCGCCAACTAAAGAACAGAAAAGAGAGAAAATAAAATATTAATAAAAATATACCTACTTTCATTCATATAGTTGTCCGATAAATCCTGACACGGATTCTCAAAAATATCGAAAATCGAGGAAGTCTCCTCCGAAAATTGTATAACACAATATTTGAACTGTCTTCAACGAAAATCAAAGTACAAATGTGAGAAAGTCTTTCTCCAAAATAACAAAATACGAAATTGAAATCATATCTAACGAATACTGAAATATATTTGAATGCCGAAAATACGATAACGAAATGTGTTGTGCTGCTAGGTAACATTGCAATGTCGCTTCCAGACGTATACATATCTTTTATCAATTTCGAACAGACATTATCCTTCCTCTGGTATAGCAAGCTTCTCCGTAACCATATCGCCATGATTGGCCTAATGATCTTAACGGGCTTTCAAATTACTCGAAGCGGCGAGTAATTGGATAGAAATGATAATTGGCTAGAAGCGTGATCAAGATGTATGTTTATAAATGATCATTTAATAAACAGCTTTGGAATTCCATATCTTTAATGTATATTCATTGAATAAAAGTGACTAAAAAAGTATTCATGAAATTAGATAAAAAATTTGAATTTCATTTATTTTCACTAACACTAAATTTCATTGAGAAATACAAATTTTATAAAGTTCAATAGTAAATATGATTAATAATATATAACTGTGTCTTTATTGGATTACTTATTGTATATTAGTCAACTATAGATAAAAAGAGAGAGAATTCAATGTCTGTAAATATAATTTTTATTATGAAATATTAAATTTTATAGCCTCCCGTAACCGTTTTCGCGTTAGAACTCCTTATCATATGCACTCGTGTCTATAAATCTAAATATATTAATTTATTCTAGTTTCTTGTTCCACACATCATTATCGACTTTGGCGACGTTTAAGATTTGAATCTCCATGTAATGATAAAAGTTTTAGTCATATAGATTTAAAAAAACCATATAGTCAGTGATACACGTTTTTGTGTGGATCAAAAACACTTTTCAGCTCAATTTATATATAAACTTACTGCAGCAAAGCTTTGCCATAAAAGATTATGTAATGGATACATAATTAATTCAATCGATAAAATTAACACTTCTCAACATGCCATACGAAAAGAACGATTTTATTGCATGCTCTCTTCGCTCAGGTATAATACACCGTACACTAAACAAGAATTTACTTTCCTGTGCTAGTTAGGTAAAGTACTAATAAGAACCACTATGGATATGACATATTAAAAAAATAATAGTTATCTATAACAAGTTCAATATATGACAACTTTGGGATACTTAATAGTATTACCCTTTTCACGAATTTAAGAAAGTCTGTCAAATCGTCTCTTATTTGTGCGTAGATAATGAGCGAGGTGCTTTACAAACCGAATAAACGATGAAAGGGTCCATCCGTTTACTATAAATTTATAAAGGGTGTAGCATACGACGCGTAAGTAGTACAAAGTATATATAGTCAGACCTAACTGGCGAGGATTTTAGACGTATTTTATAAAAGTTTATTAACCTCGGGCAAATGAAAAATCTTGTAGATCTGTTTAATTATAATGATGAATACAAATTAAGTGCAAGTTGGATTAGCTGCAAATGAAATGGGTAAAAAACCGTCGTTGAGCTCCGACCCGTTTAAGTACTCGAACAGGGAACGAATGTACGAATGCTTCAGAGTATCTCTGAAAGCAAACGTTTTTCCTTCTTCTTTTACACTCTTTTCTTTTCTTTTGCGCCGAGGAAGAGTCGTTACGCCTGTAGCAACGCTGGGGCTAGTCCTGACTTCTTGAAAGAGGGGAACTCTTTAATCCGCGTCTAGGCATTGTAGGCTTGTTCAATTGAAACCCTCGATTCAGAAGGTGCGCAGAGTATTGTGTACTATAAACTTTAGCAAGGCGGAGGAAAGAAGAGTAGTTTGGCAAGTTTTCACTGCAGATTTTTTTTTGTTTACTGTAGTGTAGTTATTGATTGCATCACATTGGTATGTATCTTTTCGCGATATAGAACCATGTTATGAGAAAGCTTTGTGCTCATCAAGAATTTTAAAATAAACTAACCAAATAGTAAATTAAAAAGCTATATTTTACACACGAAATTAGAATATAATGAGAAATATTTTACATACACGTGCGCTGTTTTTTGTATTATTTTTTTCAAATCATTTTGTTGGAAAATGTATTTTTAACAAAAATGAAAGTCTTTAAATCACATACAATGTCACTTACAATTTATTTATTCAGCATATTATTAGCATAAAACATTTAAAAAAATACAGAATATAATTTGGAATCAGTGTTGGATAAATGTGCCTCAACACTGATGTATATACACACCGAATGAATTAATGGTCTCAAGACCAAACGGCTATTTAGCATCGGTGCTTGCGAAAGAGTCGCGTTGAAGCTATAAGCGCCAGCTGCTTGTAAGTGGCACCCCTTGAGGTTCTTCCCTCCTCGCACGCGATGGCATAGGATCGGTTCGCTCTTTGAGAATAATAAAGCGATTATCGCGTTACGCTATGCGCCGCACGGATTTCTATCTGCTAGACTCGGCTCTAACTAAATTAAGCCGAGCGCTGTTTTTCCTGCACCAAAATACTAATTGCTTGGTTTCTTGTATGATTAATGTGTACTTGGATTATCGCTGTTATATTACAACGGATGAGATTTGAGGCAGTCAGGAGATTATACGTCACTTGCATATTCTCACCTTGCAAAATAAATTTGTTTGGATATGATTTAGGAATTAGGGTGATATCGGGTATGGAGGGTCATTTTTAATTACAAAACTTAAAGCCAGATTTGACAATCAACAGAAGCACATATATTTGCAATATAACATAAATCGTTGAAGCGCAAACATTTCTTTTGTTTTTTTAATTCCAATTTTATTTAAAATCTATATACCTAGTCCATTAGCCAGTAGTATTTTCTGAGTTGTAGATTTAGTTGTTTGCGTTTGGTCCATATATCGTCTCTCCACGTTAGGCGACGATCCAGATGCATTCCAAGGCTTTGTCTATTTGAGGTATTAGTTGGTTGTTTATGTGTACTGGAGGGCAAAGTTTCTTTTTTTAAGGTGTAAGATTCTTGAATTGATTTTGTTTCATTGATTTTTATTCTCCATTTATCAAAGTAAAATGTGGCTTTGTTTAGATATTTTTGCATATTATTACAGGCAGTTGCTGCATTTAAATGAGTTGTTAATATATCTGCATCGTCTGCCTAAATGGCGATATTAATGTTTTCCATGGTTGGAAGATCATGGATGTAGATTAAACATAATATGAGGCCAAGAATACTACCTTGGGGAATACCGGCTTTTATTGGGTAAAGTTTTGTGGTATCATCATTTATTTTTACCTTAAAAATTCTTTGATTTATGTATCATTCTAAGAGTAGATAGAGATTTTTTGATGCGATTTTATTAAGTTTACACAATAGGCCTTCGTCCCAGACTTTATCAAAAGCTTTAACTACATCAAGAAACACGATATTACGATATTTGTTTGTTTATTTATTTCACGCGCGCGGGTAAAATTCTTATCTATCTTCGTAGTTAAAGTTGCAACAGAGATACACTCGAAGGAATAACAACTGGGGGATCACTAAATGTTAAATGGAAGATATCATGAAATGGCGACGTAGTCAGTTTGAGACATGAGAGAATGCAACAACGTACAGCTGTATAAACAAGGCGATCACCAGTTTGCTATGTACCAGAAGGGCTAAGAAATTCTAAATTCTTTTAATACTGATGAAGCGGAGAAAGAAAATTAGGGGCATAGAGGGAGGGGGGAAGAAAGACAGAGGGAAAAGACCGAAGATGTAAAAGCGTTAGATGCGAGCGGTAAGTTATAGATGGCTCCATGATAAATAAAAACCGTATAAATAGATAGTAGTGTTTATGAGGTCACTATAAAACTACTAAGGCTCATTTAAATAGATTTTAGATCTCATTTAATTTTCTCGACTCTCTTGTCTCTTCGAAAGACGTTGACTGTGACAATTTAAAAATTGTGGATTTACATAGTGTACTTAATTGATTTTTAGTTGCGAAAATTTCTCATTCTTACACATTCAATGAAATAAATTGGCGTCGTTGCCAGATGTTTGCAAATAAATTGAGTAACGAAGAATTATAGAGTAAGCAAAACCGTTTACCATTTCAGTGTGTACGATATACAGCATAGAATATACTTACAAGTTTTATATAAATAACCGACAATTAGAAAAAATCAGTGAATCATTTACTAAAACCACAGATAAATATACTACTTCAACAGTAAGTTAAATATCAGTGGAGTTTAACGAGTTTCGTGAAATCAAAGCTAAGTCTGTGAGCACTTTGAGCCGTAGAATGTCTCTGGTATGCGAGATAGAACGACAACGTAACCCAAATATGTACT